ATACATTAGTAGGAGATACAATTTCTTAGAACAATGTTAGATTGTTAAAATTAAAACTGGAAGCTACGGCTTTATCTTCTACCACAGGACCTTAAAGCGTAGAAAGCACTACAAATAATCATTTACAGAATTAATTGATGGTATGCGCATGTTAAGTAAGGCTAGAAGTTTCGACTTTGTATTTAATAGAGACTTTCCAATGATATTGAAAACTTTGGCATCATTCAGACAACAGGATCTTCCTGAGGAAATAAAATAGGAATAATGCTACTTAATCTTAGTTAAAATGATTTCTGATAACTTTTATAAATGGCAGGAATTACGCGAAATACAGTGATTTTTTAGAACATTCTGTTCTAAGCAAGACTAATTCATTAAAGTTTAATGTATAAATCAATATTTTGGCTTCATTTAGAAATCACTAAACACATGCTTGCTTTTCCAGTCAAAAGTGAAAGACATTGAAAATTATAAAATACTGCCGAAGGAAATTAAGACCTAAATAAGTGGAAAAGCATCCCATGTTTATGTAATGAAAGAGTTAATATTTTTTAAAATGTCAGTACTACCCAAAGTTATCTACAGATTCAATATAATTGCTATCAATATTCTAGTGGTCATTTTTTTTTTATTGCAGAAATAAAAAAGCCAAACCTAAAATTTCTATGACATTTCAAGGGTCCCAGGTAGTCAAGACAGTCTTGAAAAAGAATAATATTGGAAGACTCACACTTCCTAACTTTAAAATTTACTACAAAGCTTAGAGTAATCAAGACAGTGTGGTATTGGCATAAAAATATACCTGTAGGCTGGGCACAGTGGCTCACACCTGTAATCCCAGCACTTTTAAAGGCCAAGGTGGGCAGATCACAAGATCAAGAGATTGAGACTATCCTGGGTAACATGGTGAATCCCTGTCTATACTAAAAATACAAAAAAAAACAAAAAAATAGCTGGGAGTGGTGTCATGCACTTGTAGTCCCAGCTACTCAGGAGGCTGAGGCAGGAGAATCACTTCAACCTAGGAGGCTGAGGTTTCAGTGAGCCAAGATCACACCACTGCATTTTAGTCTGGGTGACAGAGTGAGACTCCATCTCAAAAAACAAAACATAAAACAAAAAAATACACCTGTAGACCAATGGAATAGAACTGAAGATATAGAAATGAACTCATACATCTATGGCCAATTGATTTTTGACAAGGGTGCCAAGTCAAAGCTGTGACAGTGGCTTTGAGAAAGGAGTTTCCTTAACAGCCAGTTTCTCACATGCAAAATAAATGACCCATACCTCACACCATATAGAAAAATGAACTCAAAATGGATTAGTGACCTAAATACAAGAGCTAAAACCATAACGCTCTGAAGAAAACAGGGATAAATCTTCATTGCCTTGGGTTTGGCAGTGGATTTTTATATATGACCCCAATAATATAAGCAACAGAAGAAAAAAATAGATGAATTAGACTTCATCAAAATTTAAGTTTTGTACATCAAACAACATTATCAAGAAAGTGAAAAGACAACCTATAGAATGGGAAAATATTTTAAAACCACGTATCTGATAAGGGTTTAAAATCCAGAATATGTAAAGAACTTGTACAACTCAACAACTACAAAAAAAACACCTAATTTTAAATGCACAGAGGACTTGAATTTCTCCAAATATATACAAATGACCAATAAGACATAAAAAGATCCCCAGCATCACTAGTCAGTAGAGAAATGCAAATTCAAGCCACAGTGAGAGGCTACATCACACCCACGAGGATGGCCATTAAAAAATAATGAAAATAACAACTTTGGCAAGCATGTGGAGAAATTGGACCCTCATGTATTGCTCACGGGAATATATAATACAGCCACTGTAAAAAACAGCTTGGTGGTTACTCAGAAAGCTAGGCATAGAATGACCAAGTAATGCTACCTCCTAGGTATATACCTAAAAAAATTAAAAAGAGGGACTCAGACACTTAAATTCAACATAACATTGTTCACAGTAGCCAAAAGATGGAAACAATTAGAACATCTATCAACAGATGAATGAATAAATAAAATGTGGTATGCATATGTAATGAAGTATTATTCAGCCATAAAAGGGAATAAAGTTCCACTGTGTGTTACAACATGAAAGAATTTTGAAAACTGACTTTTGATAGTCATCAACATTACAACATCAAAGAATTTTGATAATGCTGACTGATATAAGCCAGACACAAGAGGACAAATATTGTATGATTCCACTTACATGATATCTCTCGAACAGCCATATTCACAGAAGCAGAAAGTAGATTACAGGTTACCAGGAGCTGAGGTGAGAGGTAAATGGAGAAATACTGCTTAATGTTTACAATTTCTCTTTTGAGTGATGCAAATGTTTTGGAAATAGTAACGATACACAATATTGTGAATATATTTAATGCCACTGAATTGCATACTTTAAAATGGTCAAAATGCAAGTTTGTTAAATGTAGTTTGCAATAATAAGATTAAAAGGAAAGCCAAAGTAGTTATCTATGAATGTGAAATTTATTTCTGGACTTTGTTGTATTCTATTTTATATGTCTACCCAATGCGAGTACTACATTGTCTTGATTGCTATAAGCTTTGTAGTAACTTTAAATCAGGAAGTGAGAATCCTTCAACTTTATTCTTTTGAAGTTTGTCTAACTATTCTCTGTCCCTTCAATTTCCATATTAATTTTAGAATCCTCTTGTCAATTTGTAGAACTGCATTCTTAAGCCCAGCTCTGCCACTCCTAACTGTGGGATTTTTGAAAAATTACTTGTCTGATATTTTTCATAATAATTTGTATAGGTTATAAGAATTAAATGAGAAAATACATGTAAAGTATAACATAATGCCTGGCACGTAGTAAGTGCTAAATATACTACTTGTAGTAGTATTTCAACTACTACTACCACTATCACTGCCAATGTAATACTATTTTTACATATTGACTATAGTAAAATAGAACTCTGTTTTTCCCCAGAGTGAATTCTTTTTTCAACAATGAGAAGGAAAGTGCAATGTAACAGAACATGAAATTTGGAGTGAGTTATTATCTAGGCCTGAGTGCAGTAACTGAAATACTGATAGCATATTAAACTATCTGTGTTTAATGAAGTCATGAAAACAGAAATGTCATTTTCAGAAATCAGTTCAGAGGTCAAAACTACTAGTTGGTAAAGTTATTATTTTGGTTATAGTCAGGTAATAGAAAGAAATGATGGGCTGAAGTAGATTTATTAGTGAACAGGTGTTTTTAGTAATATAGATGACTCCATTGTTTCTATTAGTTTTTTTCTAGATTATTTCTAGTTTCTGGGATTTTTTTTCTGGTGTTTATATCAACTTTTATCTCCTTTCTCATTTCTATGTTTAGCATAATATGGAAGCCTTCCAAGTTTATTCTATTTTTTAGCCACTTGATCATATAGCTATCTTAGAATGATCTTGTTTACTACATCACTGATATATAAAGTGAATTAAGTTAAAATTCATTTGTTTCCACCATTCAATCATGGTACTTTAAATCTAAGAAATAATTCTCGGGGAGCAGGGAAAAAATAAAATAAATCAATAAGAAACAATTCTCAAATCAATATTTGAACACTAGTTTCATTAGTAAGAATAAGTGGTAATAAATATTAAAGCGTCTTAATGCATATTTAATAAAAATCATTTGGTTGGTTTTTTTTTTAAATAGAAACCAGAATGGTATTTATTATTTTACATTTGGGAGAGGAGATATCCTAAAGGATCTAGAATACTTAAGTCTCTTATGTATGATACTCCTTTTTTTGTTACCGAGGTATACCTATAAGCTCAAATAAGTATTCACAAGGTTCCTTTGTAAGCATTGAATTGGAACAAAAGCAGTTAAGTAATTTGGAGTTTAATAGCCTAGAGTACCTGATAGAGATGTGATGGGACCCACAAATACCCTGTATGTAATTTTAAAGTTTCTAAGTAGCCACATCTTAAAAAGTAAAAATAAACAGATGAAATTAACTTTAATAATATATTTAACCCAAAATATCTAAAATGTTATTATAACATGTGCTCAATACATTAAAATTGTTCTTTTTTTAATACTAAGTATTCAAAATCTGGTGTGTATTTTACACTTACATACCTCTCAACTCATTCATTAGCTAGTTTCAGTTGCTTAAGAATTGCTGACTGTCTCTATGTCTCAATTTCCCAATTTTTATAATAGAGATAATTGCAAGGATTAAATCAGATAATATACATGATACATACCTGAACCATGATTTTATATAAAGCTTAGTTGCTTTCTAATAAATATTCCAAACAGGTGAATATGACATATAATGGCATCAACTGTCTCAAAACAAAGAACATTTTAAGGATTAAATTATCTGTAACTCCCAAATTCTCATCTCTTCCCCTTGGACAGTGCCGGGCACACACATCTCTCTGACTCCCTGTTCAAATTACTTTAAAAAAGAAGCAAAATCAATGTTGGTTCAACAGTTGTTGCAAATGTTATTACCACACTAATGCAAGATGTTAGTATCAGGAAAACAGGGTTGTGGGGAAGGAAGGGAGGGAATATGTGAATGCTCTAATTTCTGCTCAATTTTTTTGTAATCCTAAAACTACTATAAGAAGTAAAAGCTATGATTTCTTTTTTTAAAAAAAAAAGCAAACATCATGTTTGCCATCAGTTCCTCATGCATGTTAGCTGTGACAGAATACAGTGGTAAAAGTGACGGTTTCAGCTTATTAATGACATCAATAAGAGGAGTGTAGTTATGGTTAAAAATCTAACTTAACATTTTCAGTAGTCATTCATTATCTACCTCTTTTAAACTAATAAATGGAAAACATATGCACAAAATGGTTGTTTTCCCTCCATGCTTGTTGGGGTGAATACCAGGAATTATTGTTAGCATTCTGATGGTAATGGCAGAAATCTTCCATATTTTTTAAACACTATTGTTGGTTTTGAGAATATTTTCTTCTAATTTCAGGTTGGGTGGGACTATATCAGCATACAAGATAGTACCAGACGAAATAGAAGAAATCAAGGTATAGTATGACATTTTTCACCTTCACAAAGACTTAGCATCTTGGTAAGGGTTGGGGAAGAATTGCTTTTTCTTTCTTTCTTTCTTTTTTTTTTTTGTTTTTTTAATTATACTTTAAGTTCTGGGGTACATGTGCAGATCTTGCAGGATTGCTACATAGGTATACACATGCCATGGTGGTTTGCTGCCTCTATCACCCCTTCACCTATATTAGATATTTCTCCTAATGTCATCCCTCCCCAACCTCGCCACCCACTGCTATCACTCTCCTAGTCCCCCAACCCCCAACAGACCCCAGTGTGTGATATTCCCCTCCCTGTGGTTGATGTGTTCTAATTGTTTAACACCGACTTATGAATAAGAACATGAGGTGTCTGGTTTTCTGTTTTTGTGTCAGTTTGCTGAGAATAATGGTTTCTAGATTCCTCCGTGTCCCTGCAAAGGACATGAATTCATCCTTTTTTTATGGCTGCATAGTATTCCGTGCTATATATGTGCCACATTTTCTTTATCCAGTCTATCCTTGATGGACATGTGGGTTGGTTCCAACCATTTGCTATTGTAAACAGTGCTTCAGTGAACATAGGTGTGCAGGTGTCTTCATAATAGAACAATTTGTAATCTTTTGGGTATATACCCAGTAATGGGATTGCTGGGTCAAATGAAATTTCTATTTCTAGATCCTTCAGGAACCATGACACTGTCTTCAACAATGGTTGCACTAATTTACACTCCCACTAATAGTGTAAAAGCATTCCTATTTCTCCATATCCTTTCCAGCATCTGTTGTCTACCGATTTTTTAATGATCACCATTCTAACTGTCATGAGATGGTATCTCAATGTGATTTTGATTTACATTTCTCTAGTGACCAGTGATGATAAAGCTGGAGGCATCATGCTGACTTCAAACTATACTATAAGACAGCAGTAATCAAAACAGCATGGTGCTGGTACCAAAACAGAAACCCAGACCATTGGAACAGAACAGAGGCCTCAGAAGTAATGCCACACATCTACAACCATCTGTTCTTTGACAAATCTGACAAAAACAAACAATGGGGAAAGGGTTCCCTGTTTAATAAATGGTGTTGGGAAAACTGGCTAGCCATGTGTAGAAAGCTGAAACTGGACTGATTCTTTACACCTGATACAAAAATTAACTCCAGATGGATTAAACATTTAAACAAAAGACCTAACACCATAAAAACCCTAGAAGAAAACTTAGGCAATACCACTCAGGAGATAGGCATAGGCAAGCACTAAAACACCAAAAGCAATGGCAACAAAAGCCGAAATAGACAAATGGGATCTAATTAAACTCCAGAGCTTCTGCACAGGAAAAGAAACAATCATTAGAGTGAACTGGCAACCAACAGAATGGGAAAAAATTTTGCAAGCTGTCCATCTGACAAAGGGCTAAATATCCAGAATCTACAGAGAACTTAAACAAATTTATAAGCAAAAAACCCCATCAAATAGTAGGCAAAGGATATGAACAGGCACTTTTCAAAAGAAGACATTTATGCAGCCAACAAATATAATAATTGCTTTTTCAAATGCCATTGAATCTTTGGGTATGTTAGAATATTATTTAATTCTTGGTTATCATAGTTGCATTAGAAATTTATATGTGTCAGATAATCACCATCAGATTTGTCTGCCATTTGCAATGCATTTCTGAGAAAAATATTAGAAGAATCAAAAAGGAACCCTTTCCTGTGCTGTTCATTAAAAATCTACATAAGAAAACACTGTATATAAGCATTGGTATGCATAACGGATTATCTTTTTACCTTGTTGCAATTTCTTTTCCCTATAAGCCTTCACCAATTTTAAATATCAGTCTTTTAGTAGATATTTTTCTGGGTTCCTTTGAAAATACAATATACCAATTTTAATTAAAAATTTACATTAAAATGATGAAAAATGACTTACTCTTTAAAAATCAGAGCATTTCTACATTCTTCTATCTCTAATGTTTTACTAAGTCTTATGGAATATTAATCTTCTAACATAATATAGTGTTCTTTTTCAAAAGCAATTTATCATCTATTGAGAACTGAATATACTATTTGTTTTATGAGTAAGATTTAATAATTGGATAGTAATAGTGAAGGATAGACAATACTGGTTAAGTTGTTAACAATAACATGTAAAGATCATAACAAATCATTAAGCTTGATTTGATTAAACTTTTCAATATCAAGTTCAGTAAATTCAAATCTTTCAATAAATTCAAATTCAAGATAATTATTTAATTTTATGACTCAATGGGTTTTTTGTTTGTTTGTTTTTTGTTTTAAGACAGAGTCTCTCTCTGTTGCCTAGGCTGGAGTGCAGTGCAGTGGCATGATTTCAGCTCACAGCAACCTCCAGCTCCCTAGTTGAAGTGATTTTCCAGCCTTAGCAGTATACAGTGTTCCATTTTCTTCACATCCTCACTACAGTTGTTATTACCTGTCCTTTGGATGAAAGCCATTTTACATGGGATGAGATGACATTGTAGTTTTGATTTTCATTTATCTGATGGTTAATTATGTTGAGCACCTTTTCATATGCCTACTTGCCATTCACATGTCTTTTTTTAGAAATGCAAATCTTTTGCATTTCTTACAGGATACAAAATCAACATACAAAAATCAGTACCATTTTTATTTGCCCACAGTGAACAATCTGAAAAAGAAATAAAATATAATCCCATTGGCAATAGCCATACATAAAAGTAAATACCTAGGAATTGTAGGAAATGCAAATTGAAATCTTTCACCTATTTTTAAATTGGATTATTAGATTTTTTTTTTCCTATAAAGTTATTTGAGCTCCTTTAATATTCTGGTCATTAATTCCTTGTCAGATGGGCAGCCTGCAAATATTTTATCCCATTCTGTGGGTTATTTCTTCACTCTGTTGATTCATCTTTGCTGTGCAAAAGACTTTTAATGTGATATGCTTCTATTTATCCATTTTTGCTTTGGTTACCTATGCTTGTGAAGTGTTACTCAAGAAATTATTGCCCAGATCAATGTCCTGGAGAGTTTCCCCAGTGTTTCCTTGTAGTTTCATAGTTTGAGGTCTTGCATTTAATTTTTTAATGCATTTTTGTTTTTTATATGGTGAGAGATAGGGATCTAGTTTCATTTTTTAGCATATGGATATTTAGTTTTCTCAGCACCATACATTGAAGAGAGACTTTTTCCCAGTATATGTTCTTGACATCATTGTTGAAAAAGAGTTCACTGTAGTTATGTGGATTTGTTTCTGGGATCTCTATTCTGTTCCATTAGTCTATGTGATTGTTTTTATGCCAGTACTGTGATGTCTTGGTTATTATAGCTTTGTAATATAATTTAAGGTCAGGTAATATGATTCCTTCCAGTTTTGCTTTTTTCTTATTCTGGGTCTTTTGTGGCTCCATATAAATTTTAGGATAATTTTTTCCATTTCTGTGTAGAGTGCCATTAGTATTTTGATAGGGATTGTATTGAATCTATAAATTGCTTTGGGTACTATGAACATTTTAACAGTATTTATTCTTCTAATCCATGAACATAGAATCTCTTTTTATTTTTTGATCTCTTTAGTTTCTTTTATTAGTGTATTATAGTTTTCACTAATCTTTTATTAAGATCTTTTGCTCTTTGGTTAAATTAATTCCTAGATATTTACTTTTATGTGTGGCTGTCGCAAATGGTATTATATTTTCTTTCTTTTTCTGATTGTTCACTGTTGGCAAATAAAAATTGTACTGATTTTTGCATGTTGATTTTGTATCCTGTACCTTTCTAAATTTATCAGTGCTAATAGTTTTCTTGGGTAGTCTTTACACTTTTCCAGATATAATATCATATCATATGCAAATAAGGATAATTTTACTACTTCCCTTTCAGTTTGGATTTTCTTTTTATCTTTCGCCTGTCTGATTGTTGTATCTAGATCATCCAATACTATGTTGAGTAACACTGATTACAGTGGTCATACTGGCCTTTTTCCAGATCTCAGAGGAAGAGCTTTCCGTTTTTCCCCATTAATTATGACATTTGCTGTGGATCTGTCATATATGGTTTCTGTATTTCAACTCAGTTATATTTAGTCTATCCCCAGTTTTTTAATGGCTTTTAGCCATTAAAAATGATTTTATCAAATGCTTTGAAATTATCATATGATTTTTTCCCCTTCGTTCTGTTGATAGGATGTATTACAGTGATTGATTTGTGTATGTTAAACAATCCTTGAATCCCAGGGATAGATCCCACTTCGGCATGATGAATGATCTTTCTTTTTTTTTTTTTTTTTTTTTTTTTTTTTTTTAAATTTTTTTTTTTTTTTTTTTTTTTTTTTAGTTTTTATTCTGAAAGCTCTGATTAGCCATTGAAGGATTTTTATTTTATTTCTTTTTTTTTGAGACAGAGTCTTACTCTGTCACCCAGGCTGGAGTGCAGTAGCGCTATCTCAGCTCACTGCAACTTCCACCTCCCTGCTTTAAGCAGTTCTCCTGCCTCATCTTCCTGAGTAGTGAGGATTACAGGTGCACAACACCACACCCAGCTAATATATATATATATATATTTTTTTGTATTTTTAGTAGAGATAGAGTTTCACCATGTTGGCCAGACTGGTCTCAAACTCCTGACCTCAGCCAACCCAGTCACCTCCACCTCCCAAAGTGCTGGGATTATAGGTATGAGCCACTGCACCCAGCCTAGCCATTGAAGGGTTTTTTTTTTTTTTTAATTATTATACTTTAAGTTCTGGGGTACCTGTGTAGAACGTGCAAGTTTGTTACATAGGTATACATATGTTATGGTGGTTTGCTGCATCCATCACCCCATCATCTACATTAGGTATTTCTCCTAATATCAGAGATTGAAGATCAACTCAATGAAATAAAGTGAGAAGACAATATTAGAGAAAAAAGAGGGAAAAGAAATGAACAAAGCCTCCAAGAAATACGGGATTATGTGAAAAGACCAAATTTATGTTTGATTGATGTACCTGAAAGTGACAGGGAAAAAGAAACCAAG